GGAAACCTGCGGCCCTTCATTCTGTGTGTGGTCCACAAGACATTTTGCTTACCATTGCTCACGTGCCGGGTTGCCAGATTCCACTAGTTTCTATCCATGTCATTTTCTTTCCTACCGGTATGACTAGAGTGACATGCATGTAAAGCCAGGGCACGTGAAGGGAGGTGAATGCTGACTGCACACAACAATGACTGTGAGAACCATGTGCTCCTCTGCATCCAGTCAAAGTGCTGCTAAGGTTCAATCGGTACATTCTGCGATTTCTCGGCATGCAAGCACAATTAGCAAAACTACCCTATCCTGGGAGACCGCTGTGGTTACGATAATTGTGCAGCCCACTGAGATGAAGGGGAACCACTCATGTGGCCCACTCGCTAGCCTAGGTTGCTTATCTCACCTCTACATGCTACTGTGATACAACATTTTTCTCTGAGGCTGCTGATTAATAAATAATAATCAGATGGCTTTCACTAAAAGCCAGTTATGTCAACCCATATGCACTGAGCAATACCTGTGCATCTTTGGTTTGCTGACGAGGAAGTTTTACCAAGTCTGGGCTTATTTTCAGATGATACCGGGAAAATAATTAAATAATTATTTTGTAACCATTCCCAACAAGAGAATATTGGACGGAGACTATTACCAGGTCATACTTTACAAGAATTTTCTTGCAAGTGCATGCACCATATCTTTTGTTTCTTTTAAACAGTGTTCCTTAGTAATATAAAAATACGGAAGGCATGTGCTTAAACCACAACCCTGTGAATTTCCCTTGACTATTTATACATGTTAACCTGATAATCATGAAGCAAAAATGCTGTGTCCAGCTCTCCGGAATTTAGGAAAGTTCAGGTCCAGATTCAGACATTGCTGCCTGTGCTTGTTTACTTTGCCTCTGTTAATTTCACTTCTCTTGGATGATGAAAATGCACTAGTTAGTTTCATGGAAGTTACATTTCTTATTTCTTGAACCTTCTCCAAAGCGCATGAAATGGAAAGTCTCCCACTCATTTCAGTGGGCATTGGACCAGATTTCTTATGGTCACTGCTGCAGTGTTTGGGTTGCAACTGCAGTTTAAACCCAGATCAAGACTGTTTTCGCTGACATGTTGTTTAAAAAAGATTAGTGAAAACATTTCTCTTCTGCTGCTTTGTTCAAAATCTCTTTTATAAATAAGCTTCAGCCCCAATTCTGCAATTCTATCCATTGGGACAGAACTCTGTTGCCTTGAAACTTCATTAACAACATCCCTTTTAAAATAAATGGTTATTTACTATGTGCCAGTACAAACACTACCCCTGTCCGAGCAGACATATTCAACTTCTCATTAGCTCATATCTTTGTCCTGTCAAAATAATGGGAGCTGCTCAAGATTTAACAATGCTACTGAGTAACTTATCTTTCTGCTTTGTATTTATATTGTTACCCTTGAGTTCTATTTCACATGACTGATGTGGCATATTTAAATTGATCGCTTTTACAATCCCAGATTACCTTCCCTTCTTGTCAGGTTAGGGTGAATATAAAAAATATCTGAACATACCAAGGGAAAAAGAAAAGCTATAGCTACCATTTTCCCCTCCCCTGGAAATAAAGTTCATCCCAAAAGCTGATACTTAAACCACTTTATTATTAATGATATTTACGGAAATAATCCAATGCTTCTCTGCTGAAGGCTGAGTGGGGTTTTTTTTTTTACTTCCGATGGACTGACTGCTTCTGGTTTCATAGATAATTGAAAGATAATGCACGCTGGGGATGGCAGATATACACATTCCGAGGTTAGCTGAGTTTGAAATAGTCATGGTATATAATGCAGCGCATTCATTAACAAAGTTGCATGTCAGGACAAATAAAGATGAAGTGGAGCAATGATCATTATTTATATAGTGCCTGAAGTGTACTAGGCGCTTTCTAGACAAAGCGGACAACAAGGACATTTCCCTGAAGGGTTTACAATCTATTATTATTTGCTGTTTGCCTTCCAGGGATGCCCAAAAATTCAGATCAGGATCAAAGCCCCATTCTGCGGGGCTCCGTACACACTTATAATTCGGAGAGTCCTCAGCTGTGGGGCATGCCTCCAGGCATAGGTGACTGCTCCCCCTATGCTCCTACCAAAATTCTGATTGCCAAATGGGGTGTTCAATCATGCCCCCTCCCTGTTCCTCTGCATGGCCTTCCCTGCATCCCCTGCCCTCACAGGCACCAGTCACCTATGCTTCTAGGGAGGCATGGAGGAACGTCCAGAGAGATCCCCTCATTGGCTCCTGCCTTGCCCCCCTCACTCCTGTTTGTATCCTCCGTGCTGGGGTTGCCAGGTGTCCGGTATTCTACTGGACAGTCCGTTTTTTGCGCCCTCTATCTGGTAAAAAAATTCAGAAAATACCAGACGTGTGCAATGTCCTGTATTTTCTGTTTTTCTGGCTGGGTGCCGGACGGAAGCCTGGTGGGAGCATGGGGGTGGCTGGGAGGTGGGGCCGTGATCGGCGCTGGGAGCCTGTGGTAGCATGCAAAAGCCTGGCGGGGGTGCGGGAAGCGGCTGGGGGCCCCCAGCACACCCCCCCCCTG